TCCCGCCATCACAAAGTCTATACTCCGTTCTTCTGCTTTGTTCTCAATGAGGTGCTAGGTGTGCACGCCCACCAGCCTGCCTCTGCGGACGGCTGGTCCAGTGGTGCATCAGACGCGCAGGCTCTCTTTTCTTAAAGCACAGGTTTCCTACACTCCATCGTGTCTTTGGTGCCATAAAGCTGTCAGAAAGTCTCTCTGGCTGCTTCGGAAAAGATGTGAAGAGATGTGAGAAAGGGAAGCTTGCAGATATTGACAGCTGCATGATGGATTGGTGGAAAGAGAGGGATGAAGGTGTGAAAAGGCCCACCAGTCAACCTAAGAATGAGCAAGGATGAATTATTAAGCCTGCCTTTTCGTTCTGCGCCAGGCAGGGGCTTCAGGTATAGAGAGAAATGAGTGGCTGAGAACAGATGGTCTTCATTTCAATGTTCATCATGATGTGGGCCCCAAAGAGTAAGCTGTGATTAAAATCCAGTTGCATCTGATTCTGAATATTATTCCAGCAATGATCTGCGGTGTGTGAAGTTGGAGTACAGCAGAGATGTCAAATGCTTCCAGTCGACACTTCTATGTGGCATGTGTTTTATCTGCTCTGAAATGTCTCGATTAAAAGCTTGTGGTCCAAACTGAGCCCAGCGGAAATGACTTGTTAACCACAACAGAGACCACTCACAGCACCACTACTCCGTCAGACCATTTGATGGAGCGAGCACCTCCCGTCGGTGCTCATCAATTTGTCTGACGGGGCCATTTGTCGCCCTAGGCAACCCTTACCATGGAGACCAGCTTGTGGTGGAGGCAGCAGTGATTGGCTGGTTTTCAGTCTGTAGGATCATCACCACTCTGCCGCCCTCAGGAGATCGCTGCCAAGTGACGCGAGTGTTTGTGGTAGCATCACCGCAAGCAACAATGATTCACCCCCAACGAGGAGACTGTGCATGAAGCGATAATTAACTTTGTTTCATCAGAGCAGGCATATGCAGCGCTTCAGCTGTTCTACGTTAGTCAGAAAACTTGTCGCATGCGAACAGCGCTTGGAATAACAGAAACCCGTCTGTTCCACTGGCAGAATGGAGAACTTCTCATTGGTGTCGGGATATTTTAACCACGTATCTAAGACGGTTCTCGGATCTCTAGATTTCTAATGAAGAACATGTGCATCTGTGACTTCACACTCTTTTCTCATGAGGATGTGGTTGTCATGGAAACTTTCCATATGTTAGAGCTGTTTTAGCGATACTAACTTCCCAAACGGGACTATAGGGAGACAGTGTTCTCAGGTTCTATATGAGGACAAACTTGAGCTGGTTAACAGGTGTTGGCTGGAGTCTGAGTGATGGAGATATGCTTGTTAGATTTTTGTAAAGATTTGGAGCAAAAATTGGTAAACCAATTTTATCTGCTGTAACTGTATCCATTTATTTCTTCACCTATAGGGTGTCATCCTTAAAATGTCTTAAATGTTTTTTTCTGAAAAATAAGACCTTAAAATGCCCGAAATGTTTTAAAAATATAAGTTGGCCTTAAATATGTTGGTCACAGGTCTTCAGTTTGCCGTGCCAATACTATTTAATCTATGTAGGTCGTGGCATACATCTTCACTCTCTGCGTTCTGTGACCCACAACGGTTAAGACTGTTAATACATGCTAGCTAGGTAGCCAGCTAGTTAGAGCAATATGCCATGTGAGAAGCACTGCCAAGAACCAGAGAAAGATTTTGTCAATCTGTCGTGATATAGGTCTTAAATTGTATTTATAATGGTCCTGAAAATGTCTTAAAGTTTTAAGTTTCAGTTTGTGATACCTGCTTAAACCCTCATTTGGTCTTTGTTCTTAAATCACATCCACGTGACTATTATGTTCTCTTCAACAAGTCCCTTCATGTTTCATTGTGTAAGTCTAGGCGTGATTAATCAAAGTCCTTGCCTTCGAAGTTCCGTTAAACAAAGCGTGGCAAAAAGTTACTGAGTTCATCAGTGCGTACAAAGAAAACGACAAGGTTAAGCTCAAATAATCAGAAATCAACTAGAGTCCTGTTCAGACTAGATTCCTGTCTAAACTTGGCCTTGAGAGAAGCTGCTGCTCCCTCTCTGCTGACTGCAGCGTCCAGAGTTCCTGTAACAGGGACAGCAGTGATGGCTGAGGTCTCTTATTCCAGTCTGCCTCCATGCATGCTCCAGTTTGTGGTCATCCTTGGGCCTTTTAATAGACTGTGGAGAGAAATAGTTTAGCCAGCCACAGAGGACTCGTGTTTGTGCTCATATCTTTAATTTTGTTTATAAAATATTTCTGCCTCAAACATTTAACTGTGCAGACGGACCTTTCTCAGGGCGCACATTTTGACTTGTCGCAGTAAGTGAAGCGTGGATGCATTAATAATTTGCATCCTTCGTAATGGAGCGTTTGCACATGTGGTTTCATGACTAACTGGGAAATGAAAGGACGGCTTAACAGCATGATGCACCGACTCATCCTTAATGTTACTGTTGTCACAAGTCAAAGCGATGTGCTGGAGTGAGAGGTCGCTATGGCGATGAAGTTGAAATGAAGGACAGGTTGACAAAAAGGCAGCAGACCAGGCTCATTTAGATCTACTCTAAGGCTGTTATCCTTTGGAATAGTTAAAGAAACATGTTGCTCTGCTGCCTAAATACCAAAAGAGTCTTGTGGAGTTCAGTTCCGTGAAGGTTAACAAACATTTTTTCGTTGGTCACCCACTTGGTCAGGTGTGTATTAACGTTTTCATGCATGTGTGATAGCCGGATCGTGTCCTTCAAACCGATGAAACCGGTGCATCGGGGCTCTCCTCAGCCAGATGGTGCATCCAGGTGGTAACGCTGGTCGCCGGTAAACGGGCAGCAGTTACGAGTCTAACATCCTGACCTGCCTCTCCTTACAGATCCCGCTGGTACACATTATCCACGGCCGTGACGTGTTGACATGCCGGATATCGGAGCTTATTAGTCCTGACAGGAAATGGTTCACAAAGACGCGTTTTATATCGTCACCAATCTTGCAACATTTCTACATATTTATCATTTGATGTCATAAGTTCATTCACGACCTGTTTATTTCAAAGTTAACTATTGTTGAATTATATTTTTGTTGCAGCTGCACATTTCTCAGTATGTATACGTGCTCTTCTGTTTGCCTGTCGCTTTGCTGCTAATGCACTGAAATTCCCCTACTGAGGGACAAATAGATTATTCTGTTTGTATTTCATGCATGCATATTTTAATAGGATGCAGTGTATTGCAGGGGGATTTTGGGAGATGCAGCGACACAAAGTAGTGCTTAGATGTAAAATGTAGCTTTGCCCAGTTAAAATCTGAAAAGTATTCATCCCCCGAGTCTGTAGTTTGTAGAATGTTTTGCTGCAATTGCAGCTGTAAGCGTTTAAGTCTACAGCAGCGTTGAATATTTATATTCAAAGCTTCACAGAATAGTTTTATCTCAGTCAGATTGGATAGACGGTCTCTGAATATTCTACCCACAGATTTTCAGTTTTCAGTTCAGTTTTTTTTTATTTTTTTTATTTGTAGTCTCCAGCAGGTTTTCTCTCCGGATTGCTTTGGATTCCTTCTCCAGTTACTCTCTTCCTGCTGCAGAATAAAGCATGATGCTGCCACTTCCGTACATCAGTCTTGATGGTGTCTTTGGAGCGATGATTAGTGTTTTTCATATGGGCTAAAAATTCCGCTTCGGAGCGTCTTCCTCCACATGTTTGCATCGTCCCGTACCATGCATGGTTTGTGGTTAGCTGCAAATAAATATCTTCCTATAGATTTTTTTTTCTTGCCGTTCTTCCAGAGGAAAAATAAGGATTTTTGAACAGCACAACTGACGGCTGTCCCGTCAGCAGATTCTCTCACCTGAGCTGTGGATCTCTACAGCTCCTCCAATTACCACAGGCCTCTTGTGTGCTTCTAAAATAATTCCCTCCTTGCCCAGCCTGCCTGTCTGTAAGACTGAACGATGGATTGATCAACACTCTGAGTTGATCAGAGTTCAAGATTCTTTTAGAATCGAATCTGCTTTAAATTTTTTCTCAACATTCCGCTTGACTATAGAGTAAAGAGTGCCAAATTATACTAAATAAATTAAATAAACTCATAAATTATTTCTGTTGTTCCTGCATTTTCCAGCAAAAATATTAACCTCATTTGTACCATACATGGCAGAAATGGTCTTGAGTTGCTGTTTGAAGCAGCCAATGAGACACTTGTGTCTGATTTGATGTGTGGAGTTCACATTTAATTCAATCATGATGTACTTTAGCACGGAAAGATGAGAATTTATTAAATCAATACATTTTTTTAAGGTTTTGTTGGCTCTAGTGGCCTTTATTTGAAAGTAGTTCAACAGGAAAGAGGGAAGACCTGCTGCAAATGTCACCGTTTGCCGAGAATCGAACCTGCGACTACAAGGACTATGGCCTCAATACCTGGGTCGTGCTTTGCCCCTGCCACACTACAGCACCCCAATACTTTTCATTTAGGCACATAATTTAATACATTTAATAAACTATTTCTGCACTCTTCAGTCTCCATAGCTGTCCTCTCTGCTGTTTTGTTGTCTTTGCGTTTTGTTCTCTAACAAACCTTTAAGGTCTCTAAAGGACAGCTGAATTTATACTGGGATTAAATTACACAGTAATGAACTCTGTTCGGTTTACCTTTGAAAAATGTTTACATTTATGGTTGTAATATACTTTTTGTCTCAGTTTTGTCATCTGACTGGATTAGATTTTTGTCCCTACATCTTGGTGGTTGAAGCTCCCTCTGTGAGCCATACGATGGTCTCTCTGCATGGCTCCAGATCTCATTATGTAAATGTCTGAATGAGGCTCTGAGGTCAGCTGTGGTGTGTGTGTGTGTGTATGTAGGAAGTGTGTTATGTAGTCTCGCTGTGATCAGGGCTTCGGTGGGACTGAACTGGACCCAGAGGGGGCTTCCTGTTCTGTTTGGACCCTAACTGCTGCTCTCTCCTGTCCCTCACAGCGGAGCCACTCCCCCTCATGGACCTGTGCAGACGAGTAGCTCGACTCGCTCTGGGTCGGGAACGCATCCATCACATCGAGACGCTTCCTCTGCCACAGACCCTGAAAAACTACCTCCAGTACCAGTGACTGCTCCCCTCCACATGCACACGCGGGGATCCAGGCGGCGAAACGCAGAGGCCCACCTGCTGCCTCCAAACTGGACTTGAGGAATCTGCTCAGCACAGCGACGTTGACCAGAAACAGGCGGTTAGGAAGTGCTATAGAAGCAGGCGATTGTTTACACCTTTAGGATGTTTTCAGTTTGGATGTCATCTCTTGGTTTTATTATTATTATTTTAGTGGTTATATTCTCTGCCTTTTTTCACTTAGACATTATTAACAGAGCTGATGAGATGATCTGATTGGCATCAAGCTGATGTAAAGAAGTCGAGCCGCAGTCGGCGCGGCCTCACGCAGTGTGGTTTACACCGACTGTCTGCTCTGCACAGCCTCTTTGAGGACGCTTCCTCTCAGACATGTTGGTATTTATATTTATGTTCCCAACAACACAGTGGGCTCCTGTGGGGACAAAACACTCCCTGCAAGCCATAGGAGAAAGAGAGTGAGAGAGAGAATGTAAGGGAGAGTGCATCTTCACACACACTGTTCTATTTTTAATTCGCACACACACAGTTCACATATATACACATACAGTGTATGGAAACGTAGCCTGCACTGTCGGTAGCTAGAACACGATGGTGTCAAACGTGGCACCTCCAAACTGGTCTGAATGTTTAAAGTCTGCTCTCTCCATGCGTCTCTGCCACTTCCTGCTAGTTTGCGATTTTTTCTGTCAGGTTTATTGAACTGGAAGGGCTGCAGATGCAGTTATCCTGCTCTCTCGCTCTTAAGCAGAAGATGAAGCTGTCTTCAACTCCTAATGTGCCTGCTCCGCTACAGTAAGCATTCGGATAAAAAGCGCACTACATTCTGTCACACGACTTTTTTTTTTTTTTTTTTTTTTTTTTTTCCCACAAAGTGGGAAATTTTTTTTTTTTTTTTTTTTTTTTTTTTTACCTTTTTTTTTTTTTTTTT